AAATACACGTGTCCTTTATTTTTTTTAAATACTTTTGACTTTATTAAAGAAACTATAAAATATTGAATTATACATTTTTAATCACTATTAAGAATCAGTCAAGTCTCTTCATATTGCCAGCATGTTTCCAATACTTCCACATATCCTAAATAATATATCTCTAAAAAATCTTGAAATCTCCTGTAAGTAGGCTGTTATCACTTTTCAACATAGACATTAATGATACAATTTCTTGGGTTTTCCCCATTTTTTTTTCATTTCTTTTTTCAGTTTATTTGCCTTATATCTCTTGGCCATTGCCACAGGATCCCCCAGGATACTCTAATGTGCTCTTTCCAGAATACTAATTAACTCGCCAGTAATCCTCCAATCATTTCTAGGGGTGAGGGTAATTGACACCCCAGTCCTCCCTGCTCTTCCCGTGTGCCCTATTCTATGCACAGTCTTTGATGTTCCGGGGGAAATCATAATTATAGATGAATACATGTGTCCTTTGAGAGAGAGGTGGAGAGAGATTTCACTGCAGAAGAGAAGGTGATGTGATGCTGGAAGCAAGTTGTGTGCTTTGAAGCTGGAGGAAGAAGCCACCTTGCCAGCAGAAGCTGAAACTGGCAAGGAAACAGATTCTTCCCTGAAGCCCCCAGAAGGAAAACAGTGCTGCCAACACCTTGATTATAGACTCCAGAGATATAAAACAATAAATTTGTGTCATTTTAAGCCACCAGTTTGTGATAATTTGTTACAACAGCTATAGCAAACTAATACAGTGTTCAATTAATGACTTGCCACCATGATTGCTCTTATGAGATAGATGATAGATAGATGATAGATGGTAGATGATAGATAGATAAATAGATAGATAGATAGATAGATAGATAGATAGATAGATGACAGATACATAGATATAATTTGCTGATGAATTCATTTATTTACTAGTACAGTACTTTTTTCAAATGAAATTAACTAAATACAAATAATATAAAGAGTAATATTTTTGATATTACCATTTTAAGCAAAGACAATTTTCTCCACACAGGCGTCTAGCTGGGGAATATCATACAGAACAACATTGAATTGCAGGCTACATTTCCTTCAAGAACATATTCCAAGCAAGAGCAATGATAGGGAGCGTCTTCTATAACCCTTCAGCCGGCTGGGTGACTGTACCATTTTTATGCATTTCAAGGCACTCTGGTGTTTTTCTTTTTTTTGGCCCTTAAAGATTTTTTTCTCTTATATCTTTATTTTAATTGCACTTAAGTGAAAGGTAATCATGAGCCCCAAGAAGGCTGAAAACTTTGTAAAGAAAATGGTTCAAAAGAAGAATGTGCTGTCCCAAAGAAACGCTCTCTCTTGCCCATTTTCCATTAACTTGCATCTGCTGACACCAACCCCCATCCAGCTGCTCTTCGGGGAGGATGATGAATTTTTTCCACATTGTATTTTATGTGCAAACTGTGATTTATTTACTTTCAAGTTGGTATTGATTATAGAAACTTGTTTACATTATTCAATTAAAGCAGTTCAGTAAGGGAGAGGTGTTTGCAGGCAGGCCCAAGAATCTGCATTGTTACAAGTGCCTCATAGAATTCTCTAAATGAAAATTAATGTTTGAAAACATCTACCCAGTTAACATAACAATAAAAAAAATTAAGGAAAAAAAAAAGAAAACATCTACCCAGGTGGTTGGTTCTCTATCACAGTTCTAATTCTGTTCCCTTTCAACTGCTAGTGTTTGTAAAGGAGACAAATTAATATTATTTTTATGAGCATATTACAATTATGAGGGCAAAAATTAGATTTAAAAAAAACCACATAACTAAATAAAAATGTTTTTTCTCAATTATCCAGTTCCTCACTCCCGTCCAATAAAGCAGTTGATTCCAAGCAGACTGCAAATCAGACAATTTCTGGATATTCAGATTGAAGGCATTCATCAGAGACACTCCTAAATGGTTGTCAAATTTTGGCAAACGTAGATCAGAGATAAAAGAAAAGAAATGCATGATTCATCCACATAGACAGGAAATATGATAACTACTGCAATCACTGCGCACGCATGCACACACACACACACACACACACTAGCTTGAGTAATCATAAGTAGGAAGAGTGGAGCCTCAACTTGGAGTAACTTTTATTTTTATCCCAGCTTGGTACTTAGTTAACCACTATTTTATATTGTTTTCTTTCCCCACCTGCACCACTTCCTCTAGAACAGAAATCCTTACAGGGTTTTCCCCATATTTCTACTCTCTAAAGTTTATTCATTCATTCACCAACTATAGAGACACACATTCCAACATGTAAGAGCAGAGGGAACAGATTTTACCTTACTATGAAGTCATAAATGTGCAAAACGCACCCCGCTGCTGCTAACACATAATTGGTAACATGGGATACCTGTGATGACCTTCATTTCAAAGAGACACTTGGGCCGGTGGTGAGCCATATAGACAGTCCCCAAACCCATAGGCTTTAAATTGAACAAAGAAGGTGGTTGAATGAAAATTGCATCATGGGATGAAAAGAGATGGACTTGAGAAGTATAAAGTGTGAAAGAATAGACCCCTAATCTAATCTACAATGCGCAGTGCAGGACAGGCATGGGATGGCTGCTCCATTAATGTTTGTTGAGTTGAATTAAGTGCTTGCACTCCACCCCCTTAGATTTTCATCCTTGATTGCTGGAGGAGCATTATGAGTTATCCTTGCCTCTAGATGTTAATAACCATGTCTTTGGTTTATTTGCTTCTGGATATGTTTATGTGTGAGGGAGAGGGTTGCAAAATCTTTAATATACAGACACAGAGCTCTTGGTTATAAAGGAAGTATTTTAAGAGATGATGCAGCAAATACATTCAAATTAATGAATATTCATGGCATATTCACTACTCTCAAGACATTGAGATGGATACAAGAATGAAGTCAATAATCCTTGTTTTCATAGGTCTTTAAGACCTGCAACAGTATCTGTACAAGAAGCAACAGTATCTGTACAAGAAGCTGGGGAGGCGGCAGCAAACGGGACAAAAATGGAACAAGAGAAGAACAAAATAAGTATGTATCCAAATAATTAAAGGAGGGATCTTATTGAGGCTGTAGATGAGAGTGTATAGGATAGAAATATCATCCTCATCCTGATCTAATTTATTTTAGGAGAGAACAAACAAGGAGCTCAGAACAGGGGGAAGTGCTCTGAAAGCAACAGGTGACACTTTCCCCTACAGGTCAGATAATTGGCATTCAAAGAAGCCTTCCCTCTCCCATGTCCCCATCTCTCCCAGTCTGGCAAAACCTCCCTCCTGGTGTTCCCCTAGCCTCTGTGCTAACTCTGTACTTGCACTTACCATACTAAATGCGACTTCACCTTGCCCTTTACATATCTCTTTAGACTCTGAAATCTCAAGGCCTTGGCATGGCAACCTTGGCACCTAGAGGCAATGTCTGACCATTAGGAGAGACCATAAATTTCTGTTGAGCGGAACTGGACATTCAGTATAGCATAGAATGTATTGTAAGTTCTCAACAAAGATTTAGTAGGTTAAGTGATGCCACTTTAGAAATCAAGGGGTAAAGATTTTATTAACCATCTTTCCAAGGTTCTCACAGTTAATGTGCAAAGAATTACCTAGAGAGGTTGTTAAAAATGAAGGCCCCTTGGAAATTTGGATTCAGAGGAGCTGGAATCATGGTAGAAGCTCTCCAGCTGGTTCTAGAGCAGATGCCCCCATGCCATGCATTGAAAAACTCTGCTCTCGTTACAGAGTTCTTAACAAGGTGATACCTGTCTTTCTGATTAATTGTACAAGTTCATCTTAAAACCCAAAGAGAAGGGATTTGAACAATTTGCACCATCTGACAAGCAATGACAATGTTTTTACTTCTGAAAGTTGAGTTACAAAATGGCTCTTTGTGTGAAAATCCGTCCTTTAGACATTGTTGCTTAGTCCAGTCCTGAAGAGTGTGACATCTCAGCCCAGAAAACTGAGTGTGCATGTGAATCTGTCGTCAGCACCAGGCAAGGTGCACTCCTAAGTCTCTGCAGACCTAGAGAGTGACCTGCAGCCAGAGGGAAAAGGAAGTGAGTATCTTAGAGGAGTTCATGTCATTATTATACAAGGCCTAAAGAGTAAGAATTTCTTGGGTGACCTCAGGACCCACTTTTCTTCTAACTATGAGGTTAAACAAATCTTAGCTATATCAATGCCTGCCCCCCAGAAACCTGGAATGCCAGGAAACAAAAGGAAATATCACTCAGAGTGTCAGGAAATCAATATTGGCTAGAGTCCTAAACAAAATCAATCTTCCCTAAGTCCCATTGTGATTTCAGAATTAACACAATGATTTCATAAATAGGGCAACATCGTGTCAAGAGCAAAGGCCAGTAAACTAATTTGAATTACAGACATCCATCCGTCTCCAAGCTATGGGAGCTGGCCTCTGGCAGCCATATTGAAGAGAAGGTAATTAACACAATCCATCTTGTGATGGGATATGGTGTTTTGCAGACTGTTTGAAATTCTGTGAGCATCTCACCCAGACCCCAGTAACCCTTTGAAATATGATGAGCCATGGCAGTCAGCACACAGGGGGATCGTTAAGTGAGTGAGCGATGGCAGAGAAACCACACTTTGTAACGGAGACCATTTCATGGGCAGTTTGCCAGCTATTTGGGAAACTATAAGATAAAGGCCTCTCAGTAGGAGGTATTTATAAAGGCCAGTGCTATGAATCTATAAAAGCACTTTGAAACAATTTAAAATTTTTAAATTCATGTTATTTATTAAGTCCTACCACCTTAAAGCTTAATTCTCTATTTTGAGGAATTTGTAGGAATTTAAGAGACAGGATGATAATGCTATTAGATTTTAGCATGAACAATAAGTATTCTTCAGGGCAAATGATCAGGACCTTCCCTGTATGTAGTCATTGCCATCTATTACTCAGCAAAAAGCATTCTTGAGAACAGATTATAGTCATCTCTGTCCAGTCAATACTTACTGAGCATAGGTGGTGGATTTGACATAGCTGGCAAGGCCAAGAAATAATGACTTGACAGTGTCTTGGATAAGAAAGAGAAAATATTTAAGAATTATTTTTAAAGGACCAGAATTGGAATAAAATACAGGGATCAGAGGAATAATTTGAGAAGTGGTTACTTACAGGCAATAGTTATCATCAATGAGCATGTGAAGACACTGGCTAATATTCCTCCCAGAAACCATCTGAAACAACAGGATTTCTCAGGTTTAGCAAACTAATTATGCATTTCTAACATTCTTTTAGACTAACTAAAGGCTTATGATTTACTTTAAGAACTACTATAACTATAATAATATAGTGTGGCATTGGCCAAAGGATAGACATGGAGGTTAATGGCAGAGAATGGAGAGACCAGAAGTGAACCCATATGGATAGAGTTAGCTGAGTCTTATCAGAGGAGCAAAATCAGTCTGATGGAGAAGGATAGCCTTCTCAGCAATGGTGTTGAAACAGTTGTATACCCACATGCAAAAGAATGAACGTAACACCTCATATTCATCACACCTCAACACAAAATTTAACTATGTAACTCAAAATGAGTCATAGTTCTGAAATGTAACCACAAAAGCATCAAATGTCTGGAAGAAACAAAGGAGAAAATCCATATGCCCACTGCTTTACAACCTTGCCCAAAAGTGTGTTAAAATTTTGGGTTTTTACCAATCTGATGGGTATTATTTCACAGGGTGGAGTTTCTTTTTAAGATTTTATTTATTTATTTGTCAGAGAGATTGAGAGGGCATGCACAAGCAGGGGGAGTGGCAGGCAGAGGGAGAAGCAGGCTCCCTGCTGAGTAAGGAGCCCAATGTGGGACTCGATCCCAGGACCCTGGGATCAGGACCTGAGCCTAAGGCAGACGCTTAACCAGCTGAGCCACCCAGGTGTCCCACAGGGTGGATCTTTTTTTAAAAAAGAATAATTTCCTTATTGTTTTTATTTTCAAAACATGAATCACTGAAATAAATTATAAATAAATACAGAAGGGAAAGGAAAATATCACCAAAAAACTCCATTGGCCTAAAGCAGCCATTAATAAATGTTGATGAATACCCTTTTAAACATCTCTTTGTATACATTTAAATTTTTTAATTGAGACTTAACAGATGTACAGTAAAGCATTTAAATTGCACATTTGGATTTTTTTTTAAAAAAAACCTGAGCTCCTGTATTCCCTACCCAGATCAAGATATAGAATATTTCCAGCAGTTCTAACATTTCCTTTGCCATCCTTCCTACTTTTTTCCCCAGAATTAACCATTCTTCTTTTTTTTTTTTTAAAGAGAGAGAGAGAGGGGCTTGGGAAGGGCAGAGGAAGAGGAAGAGACAGAACCTTAAGTAGGCTTCATGACCAGTGCGGAAGCCCATGCGGGGCTCCATCTCACAACACCGAGATCATGACCTGAGCCGAAATAAAGAATCAGATGCTTAACTGACTAAGCCACCCAGGCACCCCATTAACCATTATTCTTATAGCTATAATAATGGATTCGTTTTGCCTTTTCTTGAATTTTACATGTATCTGTAATCATATAGACTCTTGTGTCAGATTCATCCATGCTATTACACATATCAATAATTTTTCTCTTAACCAATCTCTTACTTAAATAATCTTTTTAAAATTTTTGAATAACTTTAGGGGTATGGAGAAGTTGCAAAAATAGCACAAAGTGTTCTCATTTACCCCTCACCGAGCTTTCCTGAGGATTAGCATCTTACATTACTATGGCATACTGTCATAATGAAGGAACCAACATTGGTACTTCACATTCAACTCCACACGACTTTTGGACTTTACAGTTTTTCCCTAATTTATCCATGTTCCACAAAGCCATCCAGGATGTCTCATGACATTCAGTCATGTCTCCTTAGGTTCCTCTGGGCTGTGACAATTTCTCAGACTCTCCTTGGTTTTGATGACCATGACAGTTTTGAGGAGTCCTGGTCAGATAATATATAGAGCATCCTCAATTTAAGTTTTTCTCTGGTCAGACTGGGGTCTGTAAGCCCACAGAGGCAAAGTGCCATTCTCATTACATTGTATCAAGGGTACAAGGTATCAGTATAACTTAACCCTGTTGATGTTCACCTTGACCATCTGAGCATCTGAGGTCATATTTGCCAGGTTTTTCGGCTGTAAATTTCCTTTTTTCCCCTTTTCCATGCTCTGTTTTTCGCAGGCAAGTTTCTAAATGCAACTCACACTCAATGGATGGGGAGTTAAGCCCTTTCTTAGTTGGGGGGGGGAGTAGTATCTACAGGAATTAACCTGAGAGGAACATTTCATTAATTAGTCCCATGAAATAAAAGTCTCCATGATCAACTACAGTTGGGAAACACTAAGTTAAATAAAGCTAATCATGTTTCTTCACTATGTTATTTCACTGGGCCTATATTATGCTAATGCACATATGATTCTCTGACTTGGGATAGACAATGCAGAGTTTTGCAAACTTATTTTTAACCACAGGACCTCCCCCACTTTCTGTTCTTTGGGTCTCATTGTGATCTAAAAATACTTAATACTACTTAAAACTCTTAATTATCTGGGATGCTTGTTTTAGAATACACTGGATCTAAATTAGTATCTCAAGGGTTGAGATCCAGGACTTTGTATTTAAAAACACAACTCTCCCAAGTGATGTGAGGTATTTGGCCCTCAAGAGGTGGGACTTGAGAGCAAGCAACACTTGCTTATCAGAGTTCAAGCACCCCAAAACCCCAGGTCTGGACCATTTATCCCTGTTTCATTGATTCAACAAATACTGATGAGCCCCTGGCACTAGGGATACAGATGTGAACGAGACGCACAATGTCTCCACTCTCATGGAGCTCACATTCCTGCAGGGAGAGATAGATCATTAACATTTAAACAAGTGAACATATAATAAGTCATGTGGTGATAAGAGCTCTGAAGAAAAGTAAAGCTAGGCATGTATGGTAGAGAGTGGTATGCTATTTATACAGGGTTGTCAGGGAAGGTCTCTCTGATGATGTGACATTTGAACAGATTCCAGAAAGAAGTAAGGACACATGTTATGAGGCTTTCTAGAGAAGGCTGTACTAGGCAGAATAAAGAGCAAGGGCAAAGGCCCTGAGGCATGAGTGCATTTAGGATAGAAGGGACTTGACCATTGCCCCAGAGACTTGGGCAAGAAAAGAACAAGAATGGCATGCTGGGCAGAGGGTAGAACGGAAACATGCCTATATTCAGGCAAGAGCATTATGTGATCTGAGATGCTGAGTGGGCTTCCCTGGAACACATATTTTATGTTAGGATATAACAATGTAATGAGAAAATGGAGTGCAAGTGGGGACTCCACATGCCCTTACTGGGACTTCAAGTGCCCTTGAACTCTAAGCAGGGTTACTCAGGTTTTATCTGTAGTAGGGAGTCACTGAGGATTTAACTGAAGGACCATATATAATAAAATCCAATTCCTAGCAAGATCCATTGTCTTTTGTACACTTTGTGAGATAATGAGAGTGGGGAAGTGATAGAAAAAGGGGCACTTAAGGGGCCCAGGCAAATGAATAAATCTTAACCACGGAGCTACTGAAAATGCATTGTCGAATCAGGTGAGGAAATTATCAATCAATTACAGCTTTATTAATTATGAAACACTGCTGTATGAAAATAAAATCTGAATTACCTTGCACATGCACAGATAATGAAGCACACAGCCAGCAGAATTGCTGGAAAGGAGACCTCTCGCCACAAACTGGTTTCTAATAGGAAAAATAAAAATAAATGAATTAGAAACCATTGCTGATAATCTTGGAACAACAAAATTGTAATAACATTTCTTTTTTACACACCAAAGAAACCCCACAAAACACATTTTCAAATGGATGTCAGTTCAAGCAATTTGCCATAAGTAACAAGATAAAATTATCAAATGTTGTACAGATTCATTCATTAGATAATTTTAGCAAATAACAATTTTTTTTCTGTCTTTAAGAAATGATTATGCTACATAAACAGTTCGGGGCTTGCCTTTCACTGTAATGCTGGGGAAAGATTTTGTGGAATATATGTTAATGTCAGAAATCTCATTCTGGTGATGATGAGGATCATGCCTAAAATTTGTAGAGTGCCGTATAATTCACAAAGAGTCTTCATACCTCATTGAATCAACACAACAAACTGTGAGGAAGGTAGGGACCCCTGTCATTGCTCTGCATGCGAGAAGACCAAGACTGAGAGATGATGAAATTTGCCCAAGGTCACTCAGCTCTGAGGTGTCAGAGCCAAGATTTAAAAACCATGTCTAGCCAGAACACAATGTTTTGCCTAAAATGGGACAGGGAAAGAGAATTGCAACTTTGCATACTGGGAGTCTCTAGAGGGCAAAAAAGAGAACATATATTATGAACTATTTGTCCTTGCAAAACTCTGCTATTGGTAAGATATTTCAGTGTTATAGAGCCACAGTGGAAATGACACGAAATCCTACAGAGATTATAATCATAGGAGTTAAACCAATCGTGAACCTGAGTATTACTCAAGTCACCTAAAAGAAATCAGAGCTGGCTTAAGGACTATCACATAAAGATCTGAAGGAAAGGATAAACAGACCTCAACTTAATTTCTGCCAAATGATTCAAAAGCTCAATTTTGCAGCAGTTGTTTAAAACTTGGAATGACTCTGTGCTGTGAATGTATTTATTTCTTCTATTTCTGCTATGAATGAAGATTGAGTCAGCTAACAAAACCTACTTAGTCCATGATGTGGGTGGAGTACTGAAGATTGGCAATGCAAAATATAGCAGTTGTGAATGATGTCACTGCGAATGTACAGTATTTCATGTATACTGTGAATTCAGTAAGTTATTGTGGGTTCAGCTGAACACTCAACCATCCTTCTAAAGTGTGTTTGTATTCTTAGCTGACTCTGATTTGATGTGGAATTTGGAAAATATTTCCTTACAGAAACAAGTCCAGCTTGACAAACTGCTAAAATCGTTAGACTTGAACAGTGAACAGAGACTGGTTTAAATTCAAATTCTACAAAGATATGATTGTGTGATTTGATATAAGGCATTCACTAGTTCATTGCATCAGTAGCCATTTACTTAGTATCTAGTTTGGTTTAGTTCAACTGTCACTTCCTTCAAGAAGCCCTCCTTGACTCCTTCAACTCCCCTGTGGCCCTCAGCTGCTCCTTCTCTGTACCCCCATTATCCCTCATGCATTTCCATCAGCAATCTTAACATACTGAATTAAAATTGTAAAAATAAATAAAAATAAATAAAATTGCTGTTTGCTTTCTCTAGATTTCCCCACTTGCTTGCAAGCTCACTGAAAATAGGCAGGATCTATCTGCTGTTCTTTGGTGGCACTGGGGTGGTGCCCCTGGGGAGCCACCTCTCCCTTCTCTTAGTGCATGGTTCACTTGGAGACTGAGTTCCCTCCCAGCATTCAATCCACTTCTAGCCATTTGGAGCTTCACAGACTTATCGACAAAGTGATGGGTTTTGCCATGTAAATGGGACCCTTCCAGAACCATTGAAACTGGGCCTCTTATTATAACTCGAGAAGGCTATAATCTCTTTCCGCTGGACTAGAATCTGGGAAGTTGCAGGCACAAAGCCACCAAGAACCACCATAAAGTAATCATAGCTTTTTTAAAGAGTAAAGCTGACATAGAAGACAAGAAACAAAAGAAGTAGAGACTGACAGAAATCTGAAATCTATGCCTGGAATTTTCATTAATTAACCAATAAATTTCATCTGAGTTGGGTTTCCATCCAGTGGAACTCAAAATAGCCTAACTGACAGAGATGGTATCAGGCATGCCTATATCCCTAGCAGGTAGAACATCACTTGGACTGTGCACTCACAACCTACATGTGAAGGAGATAAAATAGAATCAGATGTAGAACTTGTCCCCCTGGGGCTTCATAGCCAGAAGAAGAAGAGGAAAATCTTTTCAGTAGAGATACGTTCAGAGGGCTAGGGAAGCAGAGGCAAGTGTTACCTCCACCAGCCAAGAAGGGGGCAGACAAGACCCCACAGAGGTGTTCTTTGATTTGGGCCTTGAAGGAGTCAGGTTCTTCCAGGTACAGAAGGCTGGAGACACATTCCGGACATGACACAGCAAAGCACATGTACAAAGGCTTACTTGACCTGTCTAAACTTGAGTATTCTTATCTGTAAAATGGAGATAGCACACCTAATTCGCCCACCAGTTTTGGAGAACCTGCTCTGTACCAGGTGCTACGTGGGCAGGTAGGAATCCACAGATGACTGAGACATACTGCCCATCCTCAAGTAGCTCACAGCCTGGTGGACAAGACACAGAAATAAATATGCAAGAGCAGTGCAGGAAATGGGCATAAGAGAGGGAAACCTTGAAAGCTAGAGGAGCACAAAAAAGGGTCACGTAACCCCCTCCCTCCAGAGAACAGGGTCGGATGCCTGAAGGAGGTGGCTGTGGATCATATGGAAACTGTCTAAACAATAAAGTTTGCTTTCTCTGTCATCCCAGCACCTGGAAGAGAACTACAAAAGCCTTGAATACTTACCTAGTAGCTTTCCTGGGAACAAAATGGAGTGGGGTGATAGTGGCCTTTGGGAAAGGAAGGATGGTCAGTGAGGTGCATATTCATGGTTTTGTGAAGACAAATAAAGAGAAGATTTTTTTTTTCTGTTTAACCTCAGTCTTATGTAATCATAATCTCATGTACATTTTGAGTACTTAGGATACAGGACACATGATGCTAAGTGATTTCCTTCAATTATTTTCGTCATGACCAGGTAGGAACTATGATATCTCCATTTACAGAGGAAAATGCTGTTTTAGAGAGTTCGGTGAACTGCTTCTGAGTTACAGCTAACAAGTGGGGGCTGGGCTTTGAACCTTGGCAAGCTGAGGACAGAGCCTTGATGCCACACTGTGCGCATACATGATTAATCCGATGTTGGCAAACTGGAGATTGAAGAACGTGCTTGTTGAATTTATTTCAGATTTACTCTTGACAGGAAATACCAATACCTTTATATCTTTCAACTTTTCCTTGCCAGAGGCATTGCACTAAAGGGTGCTTCTGTCTTCCTTCCTTTCTTTTTCTTCTTATAGAATATGTCACACACACAGCTAAGTATGAAACATAAAATCACAGACACCTGTGTACGTATCACCCAGCTTTAGCAAAGCTTAACATTTTGCCAAATGTCTTTGCGGTTTTTAAAAAAGAAATAAAATGTTGCAAATCCAGTCCTTCTGGTGTCTCTAAGATGACACCCTGAAAGCAGGCACCTCCTCTGTGCATGCGTCACCCACCACTGCAGCGCCAGGGTCCTCCCCTGCTCCCACAGGCCGACCCTGTTCCCAAGTGCACCTTAGTCATCTCTAACTCATTCTTCGGCCCTGAAAGGAAGAGTTTTTTGGGTGTGGCAAAGATGAAAAAAAAAAAAAACTCACTTGCATGATCCAATATGTTCCCCGGGAAATGTTCAGAAGCCATCACATGAGACTGAAGAAGCCCGTCGTGGGAGTTTTGTCTTGAAGTCAGAGACGCCGCATGGTTGGGGGAGGAGGCTGCATTCGGCTGCTCCGACTCCCAGGCATCAGTCAGGGAACGGTCAGAATCCCCTCCTGGAAAAGGAGAAGGGTTCAGTGTGCGTGTGTGGGTGTGTGGTCACTGACTCTCCAGGCACAGTAGCCAATGGTCATCCCCATTGCAACGCTTTGGAAGTCCAATGGGAGACGGGTCTCCGGGTCGGGTGGTATTTCAATTTGTCCTCATCTTTGAAGGGCCCCAGAGGAAAAGAATCTTCAGTGCAGAGATGAGCAAAGGCCAGAGGCATGAAAATGTAGTGAAGGAGGCCCATTCCAATGTGGTTAGAGCAAAGGGACCCGGTGGGACATAAGGCTGGAAAGTGAGACTGAGGGTGGGTCACAGGAGGCACCGACTTCCCCGTGGAGGAGTCTGGAATTGATGCTGCAGACAGTGGAGGGCTGGAGTGGCTCTGGGTGAGGGTGCCACTGGATGCGCACACTTCTGTGGCATTTTCAGGTAGATAAAGTAATATGTGGTTTTGGTATATGGTAAAATCTAGGTGGCTTTGTTGATCATGAACTAGTAGCCTAAGACTCATGTATAGAAGAAGACTCATGTATAGAAGAAGACTCATGTATAGAAGAAGACTCATGTATAGAATATCTCACTCTTAATCCCTGAGTGCTTTGGGGGTTGTACAGATGGATTTGAGAGATGTGTGATGAGTATATGAGCCTCTCTTTTTAAGAGATTTATTTATTTATTTTGGGGGGTGCAGGGGCAGAGAGAGAGAGACAGAATCTCAAGCAGCCTCCCTGCTGAGTGAGGACCGTGACTCGGGGCTTGATCTCTGGACCCTGAGATCATGACCTGAGCTGAAATCAAGAGTCTGACAATCAATTGACTGATTCATCCAGGTGCCCCCGCCTCTCATCTTCATTGCACCAAACTATAGCAGAGCCAAGTCCTTCTATTTCTCATTCATTCATTCATTCATTCATTCATTCATTCAGCAAACATTTACCGGATGTGATTCTATATGAGGAGTTGACCCAGCTGCTAGGATACAATTGTGAAGATGATGTCTCTGCCCTCATGTGCCTTATGTTCTGGTGGGGGAGAAAGATAATAGCTGTGAAGGACATTCTCCCTCTGTAAAATACCTTAAAATGCTGGATAAAATATAATAAACATCTTAGCTTTTTTTTTTTTTATTCAAGGAG